ATTTCAGATGAGGAAGATTGGGTTCATCTCATTGTGTAATCCATGACATCATTAGTTTCTTTGCTAAAACATGTGTTTAATGTATTTATATATTCTATTTTTCCCCATTCCTCATTCTCATCTGCCTTACTCCTCAGTTGGATCACTCCTGATATAATTCACATACATTCCTTTATTTATTGTAAGATGCTTGTGTAGCATATACTATTTTGAGTATATTCTTCTCATATGTAAGTAGGGATACACAATCCCCTATCCATACTTTAGAAATACCAGAAGTCATTTCTTAAACTCACTTAGTAGCAAAATCCGAATCAAGTTACAGGAGGTTATTTCTAGTCTTTATTCATTTAGTGTAACTATCTCTGTATTTTGCTACAGAAATGTTACGTTCAATCATGGGATACTGCCTCTTTCCTTCCTAAAAGCCAAAATGTTTTAATTCCAAAACAAATCTGAGTCCAAGGAATTTAATTAACTACCTCTAGTGTTACATACAAATCTGACTCATTTTTATATTTCTACCTAGTGCTATGTATAAGATCTACCCATGTAGGTGCATGTACTTTTTTTTTTTTAAAGATTTATTTATTTGTGCATACAGAACTGGGGTACAGGCCTGAGGCTCAAGGGCAGCGAGAGGCTTCACCAGAGACAGAGTGGGGAGCAGAACAGGCAGATCCACAAAGTACACTGCTGAGGGGAGCAGCGGGCGGGTCAGGAGAGGTCTGCCGCGCCATGTGGTCACCTCCGGGGCAGGCAGGAATCGAACTCATGCAGAAGTGGATTTAGCTTCTTAGTGCTGTGCTTTAACCCGCTGCGGCACCAGGGAGGGCCGCTGTATGTACTTTCATTTTTTTTTTCAACTGCGGCGAATACTCAGTACAGTAGATACGGCACACTTTAACAATGCGCCCCCCAGTGGTGAGCCAGGTACATTGCCTCCAACTCCCCAATGCTCAATGACTTAATGAACATATTCCAACAGATCCCTTCACGGGCCAATATCAAAAACTCTTTGGAGTGTACACCCAAGATAGAATTCTGCGTCACCAGGTGCACCAAGCAATGCCACAAACTAAACCAGTCCACTTGCATTATAAGAAGGATCCTGAAGTGCCACATCTCCCCAGCCCTTGTCAGCTTGCAAATCCTGATTTTTGCCAGTCTAACCAATAAAATAATAGCTCATTCTTGCTCCCATCTGCATTGGTCTGATTGCAACATCTGAGCATCTCATGATGCTGGTTAGCCTTTGGAGCTTCTTTTCTGTAAACGGCCCGTTTGTGAGCTTTGTTCATTTTCACTGGAGTTTTGTGTCTTTTTTTTTTTTTTTCTGACTTGCAGTAGTTCCTAGTATATTCTCCTAATGTTTTTGTTTTAAGATTTTATTTATTTATGCGTACAGAAACAGGATACAGGCCAGAGGTGCAGGGGCGGTGAGGGATTCACCAAAGACAGAGTGGGGAGCAGAACAGGCAGACTGACAAAGTACAGTGCTGAGGGGAGCGGTGGGCAAGGCAGGAGAGGTCTGCTGCGCTCCAACCCACTGCGCCACCAGGGAGGGCCCCCTGTTGGTTTTTAACATTGCAAAATATCTTTTTCCAATCTGTTAACTTTATCATGGAATTAACAGCAATTCATTCTACATAAAGTCTTAATTTGTATGCTATCAGTAAATCAGTATTTTACCTTATAATTTGGGGTCTGATGGCTGTAGGGCTTCCTTCCCATTCTTGAGTGACAAAGATAATCTCACATTTTCTTCTGCTACAGTAATGATTTTACTTTTCACATGTAGTCTTTAATCCATTTCCAAGTGGTTTCACCTCTGTATCTTGTTCTAGGTTAGAGTCTAGTTTTGTTTTTCAGCATGTAGTGAGCATTTTCTACTAAACAATCCCTGCTTCCGCCATTGATCTGGATGCCATCTGCCTCTTATACTAAACACCCACCTATATAAATCTGTCTTTAATTTCTCTATTTAGTTTTAGTGTCTACCTGGCTGGATTTTTGCCTGCCACCATTTTTATTGCCATTGCTTTGAACTATGTTTCTTTCTAGGAGGGTTACTCCCCCACCTTATTATACAAAAGCTTAGATATTCTTGGACTTTAAATCTGACATACACAATTTAGATGAGGTTCATTATGAAATTCTTCAGAAAATGTATTTGTAATTTGCAATGGGATTGCATTGAATATGTGAATTAATTGGAAAAGTCCTGAGTTCTTTATACGTGAAGATCTTCCACCCAAGGGTATGAAATGTGTTTCCATTTAAATTAAATCATTCCATGTTCTTGATTAGACCTTGAATTTTTTCTGCAAAGACTAGTTTGCGTAATAATCATAACAACCCTAATATGGGCATTATTATCATCATGTTCCATGAGGAAACTGAGCCCAGAGAGATAAGTACCTTAGCCAAAAAAACACTGCAAGAAAGTAACAGAACCTGGATACAAATAGTGTAGCCACTACTCTTAACACCTGAACTCACTCTCCATCTACAGGACACTGTGGAGGATAGCTTCTTTTTTTATTACCTATTTATTGTCTGATATATTACTTTTATGGTACTTTCAAACTTGTTGTTGTAGGTGTAGAGAAATTTGATTGGTATTGGAAGGCTGATATTTGTATCCAGAAATGTTGCTGAATTCTCTTATTATTTCTAGTACTGAGTCTGTTGTTCCTATCTATTGTTTGCATATTAATTATAAATAATGACAGCCCTATCTTTTCCTTTTCTGTTTTTAAATCTCTCATTAATTCTTCTTTGCTTATAGCACTGCCCAAGACCTCCACTGCAGTGCTAGACACTGCAAGGAGCTTATCTTACAGGAAAATAACATTACCCCAGAAGCTTTTCATTTTCTCTTGACTTCAGGGTGTGCCTTACATCCCAGAACTCTTTCACAGAAGTGTTAGAGACTATGTTTAGTGGCCAAGAATCCATTTGAGCGCAGACCTTGTGCTCACATATGACACAAAGTATTATTCCATAGGAAACAGCCCTTCCAAGGGAGAGACAGCTCTGTGGGATAAACTTGACTTCACTCTGACTTTCCGTACATGAAGCCTATCTGAGACATCTGTGGCGATCCCACAGCCCTGCTGCTATCCTTTACTTCTCGTCTCACAATCTGCCAAATGCAATTGTTTCTAAGGATGCGTGGTCTCTTGCTAGAGGCATTCACAGACAATAGCATTGCAAAGCACCTTAGAGATGCATATTTTAGATACAGCTGAAAGTCCTTATCGTGGGTGCCTTACACCCACAGATGATTCATCCTGGAGAGCAGATGTCAGCAGCCCAGGTGAGCACGAATCTGAGTGGGGACTAACCGCTTTCTCTATTTCATCACCCCATTTCAGCAGAGGTAAGCCCTGCCTGGTGTTGAGAGTGTAACAGTAGCCTCACCCATCCTGACTTCAATGGGGACCCAGAAAGAGGAGAAGAGAGTGCCACTCTTCTCTTCCAGGGTCCCCAAAGAGCTGCCCACTCAGGACAGCTATATCTGCATAAGGGTGGGCCTCACAGCTCCTCTGTGAAGGCCCTAAACCCTCCAACAACCATGACCCCCGGGAGGCTCTGAGGGGGTAACCAAGCAGACCCCCCCAACGCGCACACACACACACACACACACACACTCAGAGTGACTAACACTGTGGTAGAAATAACTGAACTGAAAAGTTCCACAGGAACTCAAACCCAGCACATCCAAGTGAAACTTCTCACGGTCTCTCCCAGATTCACTCCCTTCTTACAGTAACCCTTGTGCAGAAACCAGAACAACTTCCACTCAGCCATTCTCTGTGTCTTCCCTTACGCCCTGGGAGGTACCAAGTCTCGGTCCCTCCTGTTGTTCACCTCTTTTCTCCACACTGAGGAGGTCTTAGCTACTCCAGACTCCTGGCACCCATCCTCACTCTACTGTTGAAGGGATCTCCACATCTTTCAAATCCAAGCATGTTTTCCTGCCTACAACCCTCAGAGCAGAAGACACACTTATTATCTTGGCACTTAAGTCCAGTGGCACTGCCCCATCGCCCTCAAACCTCACCTCTGAGAGCAGGATGTGTAGATCCCTGCCACAGCATCTACCTCTCTCCCTGTGGCCTGTGGCCTATCCCAATGGAGTGTCAAAAACCTCTCTTCCCTCCACAGGCAACAGGAACCCTGTTCCCAGGGTCCATAGCAGAGGTCTCCTGGGTCCCACAGCTCCATCTGTACCTCCTCTCTCTCTCTCTCTCTCTCTCAGTACCTCCTCTAGGGACTCTACACCCATTCCCCTAAATTCTAAAGGTTTCCCCCTAGACATGTTAAGACGCTGTTTCTCTATGACAGCAGGGATCGCAGAGCCAGCTGGTTTCACCCTGTTTTACGTGTAGCGTCTGCACAGCAGCACACGGACCCCTGAGACACTCCCAGAAGCCTGTTCCCCGCAGGGTCTCCAGCACGTGGGCCACCTGATGAATAAGTGATGGGTGAATCATTCACTCACTCATCCCCACTCAGAACCAGGCAGGCCGTCGCCACCAGGACCATGTAAGTGCGTGGCACTGCCAGCTCAGTCCATAGCAGGGTGGTTGGACAGGGGCTAGAAGGCGGAGGCCACCGCTAGAGGCCGGAAATGGGGCATGTAAGCTGCGTTTGGGGGAGCAGCAGGGTGGGGGCCTGTGCCCAGGACCCCAACGGTCTCTGAGCTAATTTCGCTTTTGGCAGCTGCGGGAGGGGAAGTAGGTTGGGAAAGCAGGGCGGGAACATCCCGGAATTGCTGTGGGCACCGCGTGAAGCCGAAAGCGCAGCACCGGCCAGCCCCACGTGTCCCTGACAAGCTAAAGCGGGGAGGGAGAAACAGGAGGCCCGCGGCAGCAGGGAAAGTCCTGGCGCCCGGGGCAGATATAAAAATGTGACTCGGAGCGGCCTGCCAGCCAGCGCCTCACCTGCTGCTTTGGGGTCCGGGTGCAGCCGCGGGGCCGCAGCGTCAGCGCAGGTCTCGGAGCTCCGCGTCCGGCACCGCCCGAGTCCAGCCCCGCCCGCCGGCGCCCAGAAGCTCCCCGCACGGCCAGCGGGCGACCACCCAGCATGTGCCCCCGGCGCGGTGAGTAGTGGCGTCCCAGTCCCCGCGGGTATGAGAGAGCGGCTATCTGCGCGCCTGCTGTCTCCTGCGGAGAAGGGAGCCCTGTTGGGAGAGTTCGCTTTGCGCCAAACAGGACATTTTCCCCCAGTCTGGAAACAGAGAGAAACAGTCCCCCCCACCCCCAGCCCCCCGGGTCCCTCAGCTTCAGCTGTGAGGGCAGACACCAGCCAGCTTCAAAGTGTGGCCCTGTCGCCCATTCCCCCACTGTTGCCAAAACACCGGGAGGGGAGGGTGGGGTGTGCATCTGGGTCAGTCACTTCACCGCCTGACCTCGTTCCCTGCTGGTAAAATGGAAGCTTTTGATGAGTGTGCTCTGAGCTCATTAGGGGTACCGCAAAGCCCTGTGGCACATGGCCAGAGAATCAAGATGCCTTCCAAGAGCTCCAGCCATCTCTTAGGGGTTGAAGGAAGGCTGGAAAGGAGCGGTGGGGTGATGGTAGGGGGCACAGATGGAAGGCAGAGACGGCCAAATGGATTTCAACCTGCCCCTCACTCCCCTCCAGGCCTCCTCCTTGTGGGCCTCCTCAGCTCCCTGGTCCACCTCAGTCTGGCTAGGAACCTCCCCACAGCTACGAGAGAGCCAGGAGTGTCCCAGCGCCTCCACTGGTCCCAGAGACTGCTGCAGGAAGTCAGTAACATGCTGGAGACCGTGAGTCGCTCAGGGTCCTCTTCCCCACTTTGCAACCTTTCTGGGGGAGGGGCTTCTGCCGGAGAAGCTGCAGGAAATGGTGGGAGCGAATCAGGAGCTGTCAAGAGAGAGAGAAGGAGCTTTACAAATGGCCCAACTATTGGCTAGAGCATCTCAATGAAATTGTGCCTCCAGTGGAAGAAAGAGGGGTAATAAATTATAGTGGCATGTGTTTGGGCTGCGTCTGCTCAGAGGATAGTGGATATTTACAGTGTCCTGCAGCATGCCAGCTGAGGTGGAATGGTGTCAGACCCACACTGTTTCCCTGACACACTTATCAATCCAGGAGACAGTGCAGAGCTGCCCTGGGGACAGAGACGAATTAGACCTGACTCTCCCTGCAGGTCACGGTTGGAATCAAATTGCCGGGCCCTGTGAGTGTGTGTCCAGTCTTTATTTTCTAGGGAGAGCATTATCTAACTTTACTTACAGCTTTATTCTTTTTTTTTTAAGTTTTGTATTTGAATTCTTTTTTATTTTCCCCTATGAAAGTGCTCCGACAGCCACAGCTTTTGCTGCACCAGCCAAAGACCAGAGCTTCAGGAAATGTTCTTTTGTCTTCCTGATCTCTAGGACATCTTTCTGGAATGTTTTCTCCCTTGTTGCTTTAATCGCTTGTTGTTTTAGGAAAACCTTAAGTCAATGCCACAAGTTCTTCTTAAAAATTTTTTACTTTTCTAATCCTTTGCGATGGGCTGCCAATTCCTCCTTACAGTTCAATCAGTTTTAATTAAGACTGTGGCTCACTGAGTGAAAATTGCAGTGGTAAGTGCTTGGATTCCTGAAGAAAGATTCAATATGCATAAAATTCAGGAGCTCTGATTTAAGTGCATCTTTTATTTGAAAAAGCTGACTCTTGACTCCTAAATGTTGTACTAAAGGTCAAAAGATTGCAAAACTCACTTGGCTACTTTTTTATACCATTGCACTGTCAGACTTGCCAGAACAAATCAGCTGGCTTCTGCAGAAACAGGGAGGCAAATGCTCACTATTCCCAGGCCATATCTGGCTCACAGATTTGTAGCATGTGGCCCATCACTTGTATTTTATTTCCATTTTTGAGTTTGATGCTATTGAAGAAGTGGAACTTTCACTTAAGAATTCAAATTTCCAGCTCCTCTTGAAAAGACTTGGGAAATTACAATGCTGGGCCACGAGAGTGGCTACCACGACTCCTTGGACATCTCTAGGAGCTGCTTATTCGTTTTCTATGTTGCTGTAACAAATTACCACAAAACTAGAGGCTTTCAACAAAGCATATGTATTATTCTCCCCCTTGGAGGGAAGAAAGCTAAGCTGGCTCTCCCTGGACGTACACCAGGGTGGGGCTCTCGGGGAGAATCCACTTCCTTGCCTTTCCAGTTTCTGGAAGCATCTACCTTCCTTGACTTGTGGCTCCTCCATCTTCAAACTTGCAGTGTGGGGTTGAGTCTCATGCTACAAGTCTCACTTGACTGTCTGCTCCCTCCCCACTTAGCGTCTGAGGTCCCCGTGGTTACATTTGACCAACCCAGGTAGTCAAAGCTAATGTCTCCACTTTAAGGTCAATCTTTGTTTTGCTTGCAACCTGTCTGCAACCCTAGTTCCCCTTTGCCAAGAAAGCCACAGTCACTGTTTCTAAGGATTGGGAGGTATGTATCTTTTTTCCAGGGGGAGGGAGCAAGATAAGGGGGCTTTATTCTGTCTCCTGCAGACGGGGATTTTACTGTCTATTCCCAAACATCTTCTGCACTGCCAAGCCTTGATTCATGGCTCATGCAGTTCCCTCTGCCTGAAATGCTCCCTCTTTCTTTACCTGTTCCATGTCCCATGAGGTCTTTTCTTCCCATCCTCCCCAGAGCCTCTCCTCAGAACTTTCACCTGCTGATATGACTCTAGGAACTTGGTGCTTGCCAACCTGTCTCCAGCTGCACTGGGGACCCAGGGGACCCACACAGTCCTCTTCCCTGTCATCTTCCTTAGCACAGAGCATGGTACTTGCACATCCAGGCTGTTGAACGGAATAAGGATTGTGATCTTCAGCCACACTGCCACTGGTTGATGCTTTAGGATAAATTTTATAATCCTATTTATCAATGTTTTTCAATGTGCCTGTAAGATGACTCTGTGTGTGTATGTATGTGTGTGTGGTGGGGGAGGGGTTGTAATGCAGATTAATTCTCCTCTTGTCTTTAGGGTGTTGTATCCATCAATTTGTGACCTTAACAGCCCTCTCCCAACCCTTAAGAAATTATACTTGATGTAGCTATTCATAAAAATGCAGGCACTTTGGCAAAAGAAAAAAATCTGTTTCACCAGAAGCAAGTGCCCCAGCGTGGTATAGAAGCTGATTAGCACAGGCTGTTGAAATGATTTATAGTGTTTACATAATGGAGAATGTATCACCCAGAGAACCATCCTCAGCAGCGGAGGTGGGGTGTAAATGACCTATTTCATCAGCCGCGTAGGAAGGCCACGGGTCAGAGAGGTAAAGCAGCCAAACTTCCTAGGCCAAAGTTAACATCCCCATGGAGAGCCAGGTCCCTCATTTCACCTTCTGTCTTTTACAGGCCAGACAAACCCTCCAACCATACTCCTGCACAGAAGAGACTGATCATGAAGATATCACAAAAGATAAAACCAGCACAGTGGAGACATGCGTGCCCCTGGAACTGATCTCGGTATAAATGCTTTTCCTCCCAAAGCTGTGATAAAGTTAAGGCCCAGCCAGCAAAACTCAGCTTCTTCCAGAGATGTGTGAGCATCATAAGACTTTAACAGGTCCTACTGAAGAAGTTAGGTTTGGAAGAAAAATGTATAAAAACATGCTTTTTCACAACTGTGTGAATATAATGAATTGCTACTGAACTGTACATTAAAAAGTAGTGAAGATGGTAAATTTTATGATGCTTTTTTACCACAACTACAAAAAAAATTTGAGAAGAAAAATTTATAATAAGCTTTAATACCCTTGATACCTGATTTTCCTGGAATGGGAAGTGCAGGAGCAGTAGAGAGAACACCGCCATAACTCAAAGTCACAAACACACTCAGCCCACATTGTGAATGCACAACTGATGCCTAGTTATTTGTTCTTCTAGATTGAGAGCTGCCTGCCTTCCAGAAACACCTCTTTTGTGAAGGTAAGACACAAAACTCTCCTCAGACAAAATGGGAGGAAATATTTTTTAGTCCAGCTCAGTGGCTCCTGACCCAGTGTGCACACCTCACTTAGTCCCTGGCCCATGTGTCATCCAAGGTCCAGTGCCTTCGGAATATCTATGAGGACCTGAGGATGTACCAGATGGAGCTCCAGGCCGTGAATGAAAAGCTTTTGATGGATCCTACAAGGCAGATATTTCTAGATAAAAACCTCCTGGAAGCTATTGAGAAATTGATGCAGGTAAGCCTTCCTTAGGCTCACTGCGAGCAGGGCCCCATGAAGGGGCATAAAACCTTCAAAATCCCCACAGGAGCTGGCCTCAAGTGTGCCTGCTAGAGAAAAAGCAGATGTGTCCACCACGCTAAGAAAGGCACACTGCCACCTGCTGGCCATGGGGTGTGTAGCAGGTTCTCTGCATGTGTTCATATATCTGTTCAACAAAGGAGAGAAGCAGCTTCCTTGGTGGCAACAGGGTTAGTCTCAGCACTACCAACACTACGGCCTGAGTTCCACCCCTAGCCAGGGAGGTGACCCACCTGGCGCAGCAGACCTCCCCTGTCTTGCCCCCCCCAACAGTGTTCTCCCCCTCTCAACAGTGTTCTCCCCCCCTCAATGGTGTTCTTCCTAGATCTGCCTGTTCTGCTCCCCACTCTGTCTCTGGTGAATCCTCTCACCTCCACCTCCTCTGACTTCAGTTCTTCTATGCATAAATAAATAAACTTTTTTAAAAAGAAGAAAACTGAAGCTTAGGAAGTTGCCATTTGTCTGAGCTCACAAAGCATATAAGACAGGACCAGGATCTGAAACCCCCTCAAAGAAACTCCTCTGCTGACCTTCTCACTCACCCTCAGGATGACTCCAGGCTGTACTTACTTGCAGGTGTTGCTGAGAACAGGTGGGGTTTCTGCCTGGGTAGTTAACGCCTTTGAGCTAAAATATAAGTAATGCCCCACACCTGGGAACACGTATGACTTACAGAGACCTGCTGTGATTTTCTGGGTCACCATAGCACAGGATGCTAATACAGAACCCTGAAACACTCGATCAAGGGGAGCAGTGTGGTGAGCAGGGCCTGGGGTAGAAACAGATGTCACAAGCCCTTGTTTGGAAAGGAATTGTTCATTTGACCCTTGTGCTCTTAGCTTTTGGTAGCAAATGGCCTGTGTGGAAGGTGGTAAATATCATGCAACTGTCAAAAAGCCCAGAGATTTGTAGATGATATTTCATTTCCAAGCCTAAGAGTTGTTCATTCAAGCACAAGAATCAATTCTACTAGCAATCAGACCGCAGCCTCAACCATTTACCCCTCGTTGCCTCAGTTTCGTCCTCTTTTCTGCTCTGTCTTTCTTTTAGGCTCTGTGAGGATCAAGTGGAAGTATTGACCTTTAGGCTACTTGCACTATGTTTGCAAATTTAAGGGCTAAAACTAGGAGATCGGTTGTCAGGTTTATTCTGTGTGACTCTGTTAAAACTGATAGTGTTCTGATCAGCAGCAATCCATGACCTCTCTGTCCTAAAAGGACTGAGATTTTTAATGTATCATAAAAATCAATAAAGAAGTGCCACCTTATCAGAGCTATTTCCTTCTAACATGCAACTCCCACAGATGACTTTCTAAAGGGTCTTTTAGGAACTCACAGAAGCTGCCAGTGCTTGGATAATGAGTGTTTCTTCTCTCATTTCTTATTATTCTTCTGCCCAGCCATCTGGGGGGAAGTAGGTCTGGGTAGGGGCTTAGGGGCTATAATGATGGAGTGGGTTGTGGGTTTAGAGACATGAATGGCTTCACCCTTCTTTACAGATGAGTGTTTTAATTTGAGGATACCATATTTATCGTGCTCAATATTTACTCTTTAGGCCCTGAACTTCACCAGTGACCGCCCTGAACTGGAACAAAAAACTTCCCTTGAAGATATGAATTTTTATAAAATCAAAACCAAGCTCTGCATACTTCTGCATGGTTTCAGAATCCGTGCAGTCACTATTTATAGAATGATAAGCTATCTGTATTCCTAAAAAGCTGAGGTCACGCCCAGCCTGAAAGTCATTTTTTGATCCAAAGAAATGGTAACAGGCTATAGGTTGGGAACTGGGGAGGGGATAGCTGGAAATGTCCTGCTTAAGCTAGTACAATAATTTTCATGCTGTTTACATTCATCACCACCCAAAATTGAAGAATGTGACAGTTTTGTTGACATAATACCTTTGATCACATATATTTCACATTTGCTATGGATAAGTTGTGTTTAGATTTTCATGACAAATTTACTAAAGAGGAAAAATGTCCTCCCTAAATGCTTTTCTTTTTTAATAGAAAAGCAAAAATTTATAAGCTATTTCTGTACCAAAGTATTTGTAGAAACAAACACTCAGGCATAAAGTATTTTAAAATATTTATTTATATAATCTGTGTTCATGAAAGCATGTGAACTAAGCTATATTTATTTATATTTATTAAAATATTTATTACCAAATGGATTTCAGAAATACCTTGTTCTAAAAATAAAATGATTGAACTAAAGTAATTCTCATATTTTTCTCATATAACTGGAATATTTTAAAGGGTAAAATATACACTGTGGGAAAATTGATGAAATTTGAACATACTTTGGGAAAATTTTACCATGTTCTTATTCATTTCCTTGTCCCTTTAATCTCATATTTTAAAGGAACCCTCAGAGAACTAGATAAGCCTTAATACTGAAGCCAAGGACTTATTTTTTTTGAGAACATATTATTTTGTCCAACATCTGACTCTAAAATAAAATTTTAAAAAATGTGTTTCCCACAATCCCATAAGATACTGAGCACTATGCAAATACATAATAGTATTCTCCAACTGGGAAATGCATCATCAAGAGGCCTCCTAGTTAAATTATTCTAATTTTTGTGACCCTTTGGGATCTCAGGGGAAAGCTATTTCTAAATTACAGTGAGGAAAACCCTCCATTTGCTTTAAATTGGATAGAACTTCTGTCTGAACAACATGGATAATTGCCTTGCTTTGGCTGAAGAGATATGATCTTAGTGACCCAGATATTAAACTGTATCTTTTTAATCCTCTAAACCACATGAATTTTAAAAGATCCACCTGATAGAATACCATGTAATGTTAGCATTCTGATATCACATTCCTTCTTGATATAAAAAGGCTATAAAAGAATAAACTTGCAGAGTGAACCTTTTCCTCATGTAAATTACCCCACCAGACCCCAGCTCTCATGCCTGTGAACGGTGAGGTGTTCACCCAGGTCAGCAGCGAGACAATTTACTCATTTTTTCAGCTGTTCACCCCACTTAATATGCATTTAGATAGAAATCATCAGAAGCTAGATCCCATCATTTCTCAGGGAGCTTGGATGACCAGCAAATAATTTACAGTGAAATGTCTTACCTTATGAGTGTTGGGCTTGGGGGTGCAGGCTTTGACCGTGAGAAGTGGGCTTTCAAGGTTGGGGCTGTAGTTTCTAAGTTGTGTAGGAAAACCAGGTTGTTTTAACTGCTCCCTGCCTGCTTACTCTTAAGAGAAATGAAGGAGATGCCCAAAAGCTCAGTGGAATGATTCAGGCAGAGCACTCAGTTGTGCCTGGAACATAGCACATACACAATTAGAACAGGGCGGTACCCAGGGAAAGGGGAGGTTCCAGGTTCCCTGCCTCACCCAAGGAAGGGTAGAGCTGAGCAGGAAAGAGAAGCTGAAGAGGAAGGTAGAGAGCAAGGAGGGGCTCTAGAGGAGGCCCACGGAGCGCAGAGACATGTGAAGAAGCTACTTGCTTCTTGGTTCCTGGACTGATTGGAACAGACGTAGGTGAGGGACCCAAGGGGAGGTTAACAATGGCAGCATTTATCTTGACTTTGAGTTTGCTCTTTCTGTTTCAGGACAGAGACAGGGGCACCCCAGAACCCCCAAACCTGCCTGCTCTAAATAGGTTCTGCCATCTGCCGCATCAAGACAAAACATACAGGACCTTTAACGGAAAGGAACTTTAATACAATTAGTAACAGTACAAAAAAGACAAAGAATATAGTTTCTAAATCAAGCACCCAAAGTTACCCATCCCTTCATGGGTAAAATTCTACTCTAAATTCTACCCAAGGGACTGACCCAAAGCAAGGCTCGAAAGCCCACCACAGGTCTAAAGCATCTTCTGGCCAGGACTCATGAAAAAGATCAGAAACAGCCAGATAAGTCTGGGAAGAAATGAGCTGCCATAGTCAACCTCCTCCCCTCCGGTCTCTCACCTACGTCTGACCCCACCAGCCCAGGGCCAAGCAGCAAATGCAGCTTCTTCACACGTCTCTCGGCTCCATGTGCCCCCTCAGGTCTCCTCACTGCTCTCCACCCTGCTTTCTTCCTTCCCCAGTCTCCAGCTTCTCCTCCTCCCTGCTCAGCTCCAGCCTCCTTTAGGTGGGGCAGGGAACCTGGAACCTCCCCTTTTCCTGGAACCACCCTGTCACACTTCTGTCGGAGACCTACCTGACCCCTTCTGCCCCTTTCCTATGGGTCCCCAAAAATGGTGCCTTAGACTTGTGGTCGAGTGCTCCTTCTTTGGGTCAACACTGGTTGGCTGGGTATGAGCCCACAGGCCAGTAATTTGGAGTGATTTTTTGTGAAAACTATCCTCTGTTCTTTCTCTCTTCCCGTCCCCTCCCCTCCTCTCCCCTACCCTGCCCTCTTCTCCTCTTCTCTTTATTGTACACTAATTGTATTAAAACTCCTTTCCTTTAAAGGTCATATGCACTAGAGTATGTTTAGTCTTGATGCAGCAGACAGCAAAACCTATTTAGAGCAGGCAGGTTTGAGGGCTCCCAGGAGCACCAAACTCTGCCCTGTAATACTACTAGAAAGTACAAGGTCATTTTCTGCACAATATTGGGGTATTCTGTAGAAAAGCCGAAAGAGTAAAATGAAAACATCAACAGTTAAATTTTAACTAAAAAGAATCATCTCTTTACTTCTGGCCAAAGTCACAGCAATATACCAGCATCTTTTGAGTAAACCTGCTTATTTAGTGCCAGAGAAGCCCACCATAAGACCTCAAACACCCCTTCGGGGTCCATTTGAGCTTTGACCTACAATTGTGATTTGAACACTAGGTGTCTTTGGGTAATATGCTACCACAAAGAAGAATTTCTACAAAAGCCATCCTCTAAACAAGTGACTAGAAACAAACTTCACACCTGTCTTCAATTAGTATAATGTGCAGTAAGGAGATAAGAAAAAGGTTGGAATATAGTTTCCAAATCAAGCATCCAAAGTTACCCATCCCCTCAGGGGGGAAATGTCCACTCAAGCGGAGTTGCCACAGTCTAAGGCAACTTCTTTTGGGATGTGATTTAATCAGGGTAAAACTAAGCCCCCACCCCTTGCCCAGTAGGAAGGTGTGGGGAGTTTGAGTACATAAAAGGAACTGACAAGCTTGTTCTGGGAACGCCTTAAGATGGATCACTTTGACCCTAAATGCAGAAGCTGGGCCGGGATACTTTCTGTGTCCAAGGTCAACAACCAAGACCAGACATCCCAGCACTAACTGACCCAAACTGACTCCCTATTTGTGAAAAATCCATTAAAAGAGTTTATAAAAAGGAACCCCAAATCCTTCACGCACAGATGAGGTGGAGGAATTTCATTCACTGATGGTGATGGAGCTGTCAGCCAGCCCAGAATATGATGAGTAAAGAGATTCCATATTAAATTCAGATGGTGCTTGACTGGAGGAAAGAATTGAAAATTAGGATATGCCACCCCCAAATCTGCCAGGATATGCCACCCCCAAACCTGCCACTTTGGCATCAGGATTAATCTGACTGAATGTACTTGAGAAGCAGACCAGAAAACCTCTCTGCCACCTCATCTAGCATGCAATAAATATCACATTAATCTAACAAATCCTTGCAGAAAGAAAACCTTAAATGTAGTTTCTGGAGGAAACTGCCTGGGGCAGGTTTGGGGGTGGGAACGGATGGTGAGGAAGCCCTTATTAGGCCCTAGGGGGGGTTCAATGTTTTTTTTTTTTTACAACAGTATCTGCTGTCATCTACTGCTCATAAATCGATAAGCAGGTAACTCATGTAACTCATTTCTAAAGGCTATAGATTGCCTAAAATGAGAGAACTTCAAATTTTTAAATTATTCGTGTTTTTATTTATTGAATAAAGTTGAAAATAATAGTCACAAATTGCCTAACTCTGAATGCAACAGAGTGCATGCTGTGCTAGGAATATGCAAAAGAAAGTTGACTTAATGATTTTGGCAGGTTCATAAAATGGAATATTATGCAACAATAAAAATGAATTATCTGCAGCCATATATACCTGCGTAAGCCAATTTTACAAACATACTAAAACCAAGCAAGCGAGGGAGTAGGTAGAAGGCGATGACTGATGGTTGGGTTCTCATCTGCATGCTTACCGGTGCAGGACACAACTCAAAAGCAGGTATACAGAGACAAGCAACAAGTCTTCCTTATACAGAGGCAAAAAGAGGGAGAGCTGAGAGAAACCAGTTTTACAGGCAGGCAGGTGGCCAGTGCCGGCTGTCCCTCAGCAGGGAGTGTCTGTGCTTAGAGCCCAAGCCTAAGGCTGCACCTTACAACCTCATTCCTTTTCCCCAGTCTCCCCCTTGTTAACAAACCCCACTGCTGTTGCACCCTGAGCCTCAGTGGTCTTGCAAACATCAGCACACAGGTGACAGCCCACAGTGACCGGTCCCCTACCTTGGCGCTCTCATATTAGCAGTGCTTGAGGAAACATTGCCCAGGCAGCTTCAGGCCTAGGCCCCAGACAGGGTGACCCTTGCCAGCCCGGCCAGCTCCTGCAGCTTCAGCTCCACTTCAACCACCTCATGGTCCCTGGGCCTCCCCCTCCCTCATACCGGTGCTAGCTCCCCTGTTAGCAAATATTTTTTTTCTCCCCCAAAGTCCCTTTTGTTTGTATTTGTGGTAGGGGATGGACAGATGCAGAACTGGTAAGAAAAGTTCCCACCCATGGCAATATTTAGACTCTACGTGCAGCAATGTAGACAGGAGAGGATTGTGGTTGATATACCGGGAGCTACTGTGATGGTGTCAGAAGTTACTTCACCGTATTGTACACATGTATTTATTAGCTTGTCTTTATTTCTCACAGTAAGAGATTTTAAAACTCAAACAAGCTGTCCAGCAGACGTTGTTTATTTATTTATTGAAGTAAAATAGCTTGTGTCATTCTGTACAGACCGTATTCAAACAAATGGCCGATTCTGAATATAGCAGCTTCTGGCTTTGCCCTGAGCCCTCAGAACGGCACCAGTTGGAGCCTCTGAGCTGTGAGAGTGTGTGTGCTGCCTTTGGGGGTTGGCGAGCCTCCTCTGCAGGCACACAAACTTCCGCCTTAAGCCACGACCCCAGCTTTGCTGGTTCAGGAGG